GCTGCCATGCGGGCAGGGGACTGGACTCTATGACCTCTCGAGGTCCCTTCCAGTCCTAGAATCTATGAATCTATGAATAAGTGAGCATGTCAGCTTAAGCATAAGTCTAACATCAAACTGAGTGGACTGCAAAAATAATTTTATTTTTATTTTTTCAAGTTTACAAGATAACCCTACAGGTACACATTTACATGAGGAGAAAGCTATACTCTTGCTCAATGAATATGATTTTATATATTTCATGTGTCCTTTGTGTATATTCTTTCAAGTGACCTGGGTTCAACTGTACTCTTTAAAATCTAAACTGAGAGAGTTATCATAAAATAGCAGGTTAAAGCTAGTAATTTTCAGGAGATGGTAACAGAAAATGAAACTGAATTTTATTAGAAGGTACATTAATGTTAAGGACAATGTCAAGCATGGTAGCCTTAAGCATTGCTCTACAAGTAGTAGACTCACCTGTCATGGTGTATAATTAAGCTTATTGCCTCAAATAGCACAGCATTCTTAGCATTTGAGTGTTGCACTTTCTTAGATTTTGGGGGCTCTTGAGCTTTATTAAGGATAGTTTCCAGGCATTCTGTGAGACGACCACGTACCGCAGCATCTTCTGGAGGAAACAAGACAAATTGTTGGACAACTTCATTTTGCTCAACACTACTGATTAAATACCCATCCTTGCCTTCAGATGACGTTATTCCCCAATTCAGAAGAATATTGTTGGTGTCAGCACTAAGTTTACAGAAGAACTCTAGGAGCATAAAGGTGGAATTAGAAGACTCCCTACATTGCATGGAACAGTGTTGGCAACTAATACGATTCTTTACCCCATTACCTGGAGGTGGATAGCACTGTAACAACCTCAAAAGCTTTACAGACAACCAAGGAGCAGGGACAAAATAATAGGTATAATCCTGGAGATCGGTTGATGCAGATGTCACAATCTGTAAAAACACAAATAATCAGCATCTGAATGACAGGAGTTCATAAGATGATCTGACATTATGAAAATGTTCACTATTCATTTTAAGTACCAATACAATGTGTAAATGAACTTACAGTTAGACATAACAAATTTTAGTAGTATATAAAGGCAAAGTATAAGTTTCATTTTTAATAGGCTGAACAAATCACCTAGTAAAGATTAATGTGCAAATACAATATATCTAAATAAGACACTGAAGAATATCAGTTGTATCAATATCAGTAATCAATAACTCCGCCAATTAAAAATGTCTTATATTTAGTTTTATAGGACTAAAGAAACCTAATTTAATAAAGACTGAGAAGTGTTTGTTCAAAAACAAACAGATGAGTGAGAAAAAAAAAATCACGCACCCATCCACCAGCGGATGGTGCAGATAGTGGCAAAGTGAACCCCTGATAGACTCATATGCTCCAGATTGATACTGACAAAAAAAAAAAAAATTCTCTTTCTCAGGATTTATTAATTTCATTTTGGGAGAGTGATTTTTGGCAATTTTGAGGTTTTTTTAATTATTCAAAATTCAGGTTTTTCAGGGCTCTCTCTTTGTATATAGAGTAATCCTTGAAATGTTCCCTAGTCTACTTTAAAGTAGTACTATTTAAAACAGAATTATGTTAAAATGTACTAGATAACCTTTAGTGCATACCAGCAGGGTCTACACAGACTAATGAATGCACAACACATTAGACGTCCACATTACTGCTCTGTGTAGACAAAACCACAGATACAAGTAAACATTTTTTGTATTTTTCTGGTGATTACTGGATAAACACCAATTTCTTTCTTTTTCTTTTTTTGCATTCGTGGTGTTTTATCAGTATTCATCGATTAAAACCAAAAAATCAGAAGCCCTCAATAATCAGATACAGAAGTGCCTTGTGGAGTTCACGACCTCTAATACCAAGGTGAAAATCTCATCTATTTTGCCACAAAAGTTTGTACTGCAGGATCTTTTCTACTGTTTATCAAAATATTTTGAACCTATGTAGAATAAGATTTCTCTAGGTTCATTCGCCATCCGATAGCAAGGCTGGGAAACAGAGGGAATTCAGATCTGGTGCAAAATTGACCTTTTGTTTGGTAACAAGGTCTGGAATCAGAGGCAATGATCTTAGGTGGCAGACAGATTGTGTATCTCAGTGAACCAAAATTGTCTCTGCTACACTGGTACTATTAATATCTTTTCACAGTACTGCCTAATCTTGTGTAAGACCCTCAGGAATAAACACAAAATAGGTGGGTTTGTATATATTGGGTCTTTGACCACCAGCTTAGAAAAGCAACCGAAAGAAAGCCTGGGATGATAAATCTCTCTAGAACAGAAGACCTGACATTTGTGTACTGTTGTATATCACAAACAGGTCCATGCAATGGAAGCCGTAATCTAAAACGTCTTATTTGAGTGAGTCTTTGATCTCCCACTTGTGATTGGAAGTGAACTAGCCACTTAGCTTGCCCCCTAGGCTGTTCTGCAGATGTAAGCATATTTGAAGTGTTTCTTTCTAGAGGTTGGGGTTTAGACCCAATGAAATGAAATGTGGCCAGTGAATCCTTCAGCAAACGAAGAGCATCATCTGTTTTGGAATTAAGTCTGGCCCTTCAAAGGCCAAATTCTCTACCATGGACTGAACCTCCTGTGCAAAGCCAGAGCTCCGAAGCTATGAAGCTCAATAAACAATTGCCCCTCTTATATGTTGGAGATGGGTATTAACATTTGAGAAGAGAACAAACCTGAAACAATGAGTAAATAAATTAGCCAGCAATATTGGGAAGTCCATTGAAAGACTGCACAAATGGAGATCTGAAATCTGCCACTTTGGAGACACAGAATTCCTGGAAATTCTTTTAGAGGAGTGGATACTTAACTGGCTCAAATGTCTGATGTGTCTAAACACGATGTAATACAATGGTTTCCCAATGTGAAGTTGGCTGGACATTAAGGGGAAATAAATTGTAGTAAATAGTAAAATAAAATATGTCACTGCTTACAGTTAAATTATGCACCAGTGGATTTCTTCATCTTTAAGGATATAGGCGACAAGAGGAAATGTTAATGGATGTTCAGTTCATCAGCAACAGACCAATAAAATATTAACGTATGAAGGGCTATATGAGTACTTTGCAAACACTAATATTCAACAGAGATTGAAATCACTTGCAGATGCAATACAGCAAGTCTGTTTCAGAGCAGACTATAACCCAAGTCTGTTAATTCAGTCCAAGTGAATCTGATCTAGAAAGTTAAACAGCCCTGGTTACATTTCACTACAGCTGTTTAATAAGAGACTTACTCTGCTTAGCCTAGAGACAGCCAAAGATACTGAAGTTTTAAACTCTTCTGGGTTCTTCTGTGCCAAAGTAGTGATAAGACTGGTAGCAGCAGTAACCACACCCTGGAGGAAAACAGAATTACTAACGTTTTTGTTCAAATATCAAATATTTTACATCTGAAATTGTTTAAAAGCTTCAAATGAAAGACGGCCATTTGTTATGTACCAGACACCCAAATTTATCCTTAAGTTTAGTATCATCTTCTTTAGTGTATACTATTAAGCCTAAAACCCAAAATCCAGTTTACATTAATCCACAGTTGTAAGTGATACCTTAAAATAAGCTAGCTGGCTTTTGTCAATTTTTTTCCAAGTAGAAAAAGGAAAGGTAGTGAGACTTCTTGGATACTCCCTCTTATACACAATTTCTCCACTACACGGCCCCAGAATTGGTAACCCTCCCTTTTGGCCAAAAGCTGAAATGATTACTATTTATGTTTGCTACTGCATGACACATTTGATGTATTTTCAGTGGTATGTTACACTATGCCTTGCTTGCATTGATGGTGCTCCACATTTTTATTAAGGAGTAGCCCTATCAAAGATCAGAAAAGCAGTATTTCAGTCTAATTCTGAATGCTAAAACAAATATACATTCCAAGTAAGGTTCAGTAAAAACAAATTATGCAATGGAAGAAAGCAAACAGCTACGAAGGAGCGATCTTGCTTTTGCAAGAGAAGCATGGAAGAAAGGATACCTACCCCAATTGTGACAGCAGGCTAGCTGCAAACAACTTGTGTATTATGTTTCACTTATCATGAAATGGGAACTTCAGATGGTTTGATTATTAAGTTTCAGTGTAGCTTAAGTACCCCTATATGCACTGCTAACTGCTATTTTGAAATTACTGAACAGCAATATGCAATCACATCCACACCCAGGATGACAATGCTGTGATTTCAGGGTCCTGTCATTTTTCTATATTGATAGTAATCGGCGCTTAATTTATACCACAGTCCTCACAAGGGGAGCTTTTAGGTGTTTGTCAAACATGCGCGCATGCACACGTTATATGGGACACGAGTTTTTTTTTAAACCAGGCGTACAGTAGAACACATGGGAATACCAAACCCTTACTGATGTAGGTCTAAATACTGACTAATTCTAGACATTAAGTACCTTTCCCAGAGTAAGAAGAGCTCCGTGTAGCTCAAAAGCATGTCTCTTTCACCAACAGCAGCTGGTGCAATAAATGATATTACTGTACCCACCTGGTCTCTCTAATTCTAGACATGACTCTCAGGAATTAGTATAACCAATAACTGATTAAAAGAGAGGCTATGGGGTATCTTTATTTCTCCCTTTAGGAGAAATGCAGTTCAATCTGTGTTTTATTTTTTTAAAAACACTCAGTGATGCAAAAATGTAAATTGCAGATATGAATTAGTCTCACAGCAATTTAAATAGTTTCCTTCATTTAACATACCGTATTAACAGAAACTATGATTTCCCCTACAGTGACTGGGCTAGACCACTGAATAGTCTGATCCCAGAAGAAATAATGCTATCATAAGCTTACCAAATGCTGGTCATTCAGAAGATGCACCACCCTGGATGTCCAATCTCCCATGGGAACGAAGTCAGGAGAAGTTCTGTACAAACGCAGCAAGCACAAGGCAGCACTCTGCTTCACGCTATCCATGGTGTCTCTGCAAGATAACACCTCTTTTCAGCACAAATTAAGAGTCTTGGTACTACACAGTGGACCAGTATCTGTCATGCTTTTCACAGGCCAATAAACACTATTATCCAGAAGTAAACAAGAATGGAAACCACCACAAGGGGTTTTAGTTTTTTGTTTTTTTATTAAAAGTATTAGATCCCTTAGTTAATTATTTAAATTACTTTCAGCTACTTTACATTTGTTATTAAGTACTTTGATAAGTGGTTTAAAAATTTGGCTGGTTACAGTAACTGGTGTAACTTCTTCTGCATCCTTTGCTAAACACTATTTGGCAACATAAAAGCAATAATGAGCCTTGCCTCCTAGAGCAACAGTACACAGGAGATTTTTCTTCACTCTATAGCTGTAAGTACACTAGTGTTAGAGACGTGACAAGTCAGAGTAAAGCAATACCAATGATCTTCAGACAGAATACATCTGCAACTAGGGAAGGGATGAGAGTGAAACCAGGATGTCAAGGTAAATGTTCGTAGTTGAAAAATTGTTTACAAATATTGTATGACCTTTATTTCCCAGAGAAGAGATACCAAAAGATGCTGTCTGGAGAGCACCATCAAACTCCATATACTTAATTTGCCTTGTCCATTAAAAATAACTCACAATCTTTAGGAAACGTGATTCATGAACAAGCTAATACATTTAAATTTCTAGGGCATTACTTGATTTCTGTAGCAGTATCCTGCTTGGTACCACATTATGGAACTAAACGTTTTCCTTTCAGCCACATGACTTAAGACAAAATTAAATGCAGCCCTTTATTGTATGGGGAACTGGTAGCGAATCCTAAATTTAGATTAACACTAAAATCTAAATAACTTTTGAAATCCAGCAAGGACAAAACCCTGAGGGCTAAACTGTCTTTTGCTTTATCATGAAATTCTGTTCAGGCTTGGCTAAGCTCTGCAATGTTCAATCACCATTTATTTACCTTCTGTTGCTTGTGTACATCAGGAAAGTCAAAGTAACTGACTATGATTATTCTAACAAGCCAGACCCATTGCTGCTGTTGCTACAGCAACAGTATCACCACAACACTATACTAGGAGCAACTGGAAGAATGGTTTTTAAGTGGCAAAGTCAAGCTCTTAAAGTAGAAAATGTTAGATTTACAATTGCATGTGCACATTTAAGGTTGCATGTGCATTGTGATGCAATTTCTAATTATATGATCATATGCAATTTTTTTCCACAGGATCCTAGGCATATTCAGTGCACAGGATGAACAAAGCCAGAATTAATCTTGCACAATCTGGAGGGCTTGACTTTACAACCCAATTATCTTTTTAGTATGTGATACATTCAAATATTTTTCTATTACAATGATGAGAGGTGAATGAGGCAACCAAAAATCTAGGTAGTATTTCAAAAAGTGTATGAGAAGGATCCATACAAACTAAGAGTACTTAAAGAATTTTTTCACTTGACCAGAGCTCGGAGAGCCGGGAAGCAGAATTGAACTGAATTACTACCTGGAGGTTTTCATTTCTTTTAAGTCCTGAGAATTCTCATGGACATAGGCCTAGTCCTATGATCATAATTTCTTATTTACACAGTTACTGGGGTGAATTCCAGTCAGATAATAGTTGCAAAACTTTTGTTTGGGCCACGGTCTTGCTGGGCAAAACAGGGAAAAAAGATTAGTGGCAATTTAAAAGAAAACAGTCACTCAAATGATTTCCTGTGGATATAAAACCTTGCCTATTCCTATGTACACCTAGAAAGGAAATGTGGATTTTGGAGGAAGCTCGAATATAGGGTGGGAAAAAAAAATTCACCTTTCTAATGAAATCATAGACAGCAATAATGAGCTTCCAATGGAGTACATTTCTAATAAGGAAATAGTTGAAGTATGGTGTTTTCAGATTCATTCGCTGCCCATTTTATTAGGATTTATCTGAACAGGAAAAAGGAAACAACTTTTGTTTTCCCAGGCAAAATATTTTGGATCAAACTTCTGGGATAAAAAGTAGATATTTTTAAAAAAATTCATAGATACGTGGGTAATGAACTGGACTCTGCAAAAATGCAATTTGGGTTATTAGCCAAGAGATAATTAGGCCAAAATATTTTAACTTGTGTACAAAAAGTTAGTTTCGATATCTAGGTTTAGTCACTTAAGCAAGCAACCCGATTTTCAGGTGTGTTGAGCACTTACCTTCAGTTCCTGACGGCAATTGGCACCTCTAGAACATCAAGTCAGGTAGGTGCGTAAATATGGCTTTCGACCCCTAACTTCATGCTGAGAACCACTAGTACTACCTATTGTTGTACAGTTGTTTCAAATACAATACAATACATACCCAGCTACAAGTATTTTTGGAATTTCTCCAGCAAATGCTTCTGCCATTTCCCGACTACCCACATTGGCTATACAATGCAAAGCTAGTCCCATGAAGGTGGGGTTGCGGCTGGCCAGGTCATTCTTGATTGCATTGTTTATCAAGCGGATCAGCTCACTGTTGGAGTTCACTAGCACGGAGATGAAAAGATATCCCTGTGGTTCAGAAAAGGGACAAGAAAAAGTAATATTTCTGATAAATCAAGTCAGCTAAAACGAATTTTATGTCATTTGCTAATATTGTAAGGTATTCTATGCACTCATGCAGTTCCCCTCCAGCAATACTTGTCCTTACAGGTCTTCCAAGAGTTCTGTGTAAATAAGTCCCTGGAATTTCAGTCCAATAATAGAATAAAGAGGTCCAGAGTTGCAGAGTACGATAGCAATGTCTTCAGGGGGAAAGGGGGAGGAGGGGGAAAAAATCACATGTACGTTCCACCCAAATCATATATTTTGCTCCTCAAAGACCCAAGCTCTGCTCAGTACTAGTCACACACCATCACTTCACACGCACGTAGTAAACGCTAGATTTCCTCTGAGTCTAAAATGTCTAATGTTCTACAAAAAGAAAGTACCTTGTCTAATGGAATGTGTGTTTCTTGATAAGGTACATTAAAAATGTAACATGACTAGTCTTCTGTTGCAGTTAGTGCAACATTTATTTTAGAGGTTAAAAAGGCAAGAAAATCCATCAAAGTTACTTATTCAAACAAGTAAAGGACTCATATGTACAGCTAAAAGTTACTCCGCAATCCCAGCTAGAACCAAGCTAAGACCATGCAGAAAGAAGGCAAGAGAAAAAAAAATTATTTAAGCCGCTAGTTATATAGTGAGGCAGGACAGGATAGGCACCTAGGCAGTATGACATTTCATAGATATTTCCTTCTTCAGGGTTGATAAATTACTCACAATTTGTTTCTCTGTGTATCTGTTAGAACTCAGTAGGTTTACAGCCTCCATGTGGCCAAAGTCAATATCATGCCCCAGGAGGAAGATGAAAAGTAGCTTGCAGACATACTTTTTCTTACTGTAACCATCCAGAGCCTTGTCACCTAGTAAACAATTAAGAAAAAACATATTTGAAAACCAAGACTCTTTGAAATGCAGCACAGGCCAACATTTGTATATCTCTGTATTGCCACACACTAGCATTCTAGTACCACACAGTACCATTCAAGTACTACAGCATGTGCTAAATGTTGTTTCAAGAGTTCTAGTTTTACCCTGTCAGGTTTCATTATTTATGTTAATGGATCAAAAGAACCTTAAAATGGAAGAATCTATGAAGTGCTTATTACACAATACAAAAGTTATTGGGTAGCTTGACTAGATATTCTGATAGACACTCTGACTGTAAAAAAAAAATCTATGAATACATTCAGATTTAAAACAACCCAAAGTGGCGTACAATACTTTTGAACTAAGCTTCAAAGCAATCAAACACTGATCAGATGTCTCTACAAAACATTGGCACCAGAACACCGGTAACCAAATATACTAGGGCTGTCGATTAATTGCAGTTAACTCACACGACTAACTCAAAAAAATTAATCGTGAAATCATACTGTTAAACAATAGAATACCAACTGAAATTTATTAAATAAATATTTTGATGTTTTTCTACATTTTCATATATACTGTATTCCGTGTTGTAATTGAAATCAAAGAGTACATTAATTTTATTACAAATATTTGCACTGTAAAAATGACTGACAAAAGAAATAGTGTATTTCAATTCATCTCATACAAGTACTGTAGTGCAATCTTTGTCATGAAAGTGCAACTTACAAATGTAGATTTTTTTTTGTTAAATAATTGCTCTCAAAAACAAAAACAAAGTCCACTGAGTACTACTTCTTGTTGAGCCAATGGCGAAGACAAATAAGTTTGTTTACATTTACATGAGATAATGCTGCCCTCCTCTTCTTATTTACAATGTCACCAAAAAGTGAGAACAGGCATTTACATGGCACTTTTGTAGCCGGCATTGAAAGGTATTTACGCTCCAGATATGCTAAACATTCATATGCACCTTCCTGCTTCGGCCACCATTCCAGAGGACATCCTTCCATGCTGATGATACTCATTAAAAAATAATTTAATTAAAATTTGTGACTGAACTCCTTGGGGGAGAATTGTATGTCCCCTGCTCTGTTTTACCCACATTCTGCCATATATTTCATGTTACAGTAGTCTCAGATGATGATCCAGCACATGTTGTTCGTTTTAAGAACTCTTTCACTGAAGATTTGACAAAACACAAAGAAGGTACCAATGTACTATTTCTAAAAATAGTTACAGCACTCAACCCAAGGTTTAAGAATCTGAAGTGACTTCCAAAATCTGGGAGGGATGAGGTGTGGAGCATGCTTTCAGAAGTCTTAGAAGAGCAACACGCCAATGCAGAAACTACAGAACCCAAACCACCAAAAAAGAAAATCAACCTTCTGCTGGTGGTATCTGACTCAGATAATGAAAATGAACATGCGTCAGTCTGCACTGCTTTGGATTGTTATTGAGCAGAATCCGTCATCAGTATGGAAGAATGTCCTCTGGAATGGTGGTTGAAGCATCAAGGGACATATGAATCTTTAGCAAATCTGGCATGTAAATATCTTGCAATGCTGGGTACGACAGGGCCACGAGAACACCTGATCTCACTTTCAGGTGACATTGTAAACAAGAACCGGGAAGCATTATCTCCTGCAAATGTGAACAAACTTGTTTGTCTGAGTGAGTGGCTGAACAAGAAGTAGGACTGAGTGGACTTGCAGGCTCTAAAATTTTACATTGTTTTATTTTTTAATTCAGTTTTTTGTACATAATTCTACCTTTATAAGTTCAACTTTCATGATAAAGAGATTGCACTACAGTACCTGTATTAAGTGAATTGAAAATTCACATTTCTTTTGTTGTTGTTTTTATAGTGCAAATACTTGTAATCAAAAATAAATAAAAAGTGAGCACTGTATAGTGGTATTGTGTTGTAATTGAAATCAATATATTTGAAAATGTAGAAAACATCCAAAAATATTTGCATAAATGGTATTCTATTATCTTTTGAATCGTGCAAATAATCTTTTTAATCGTTTGACAGCCCTAGAATATACAAATGTCAGTTTTGTCCCACAATCTGTGGAAATGGCAAAGCCCTAATACTCTGGATTAAGGCATTTAAGTATTCTACAACAGTTAATGCACACATCAGGAAGTGGAGGAAGAGTGACAAAAACATTATTTTGATTATGCCTTTTTATAAAGTCTGAAACATTACAATGACTATCATGTGTACAGGCAATAAGGTAAGATTAAGTTCCTCTTGAATACTTGCTATCCAGTCAGCTTTACAAGTCAAATTTCAAGATGGTTTAGATTACAAGGTTAAGGTGTTTTGTTTAAAAAAGTGTGTGGTGGGGATTGCTCTAAAACAGTTTACCTTTTATGGTTGTAGTACAGACCTCTAAAATATGTACTTCTGAAAGCTCATCATCATTATTTTCCAACCTTATTTTCTCTGTTAAAATCCTATTGTAGCGAACGGATGACTAAACGGGAGGGGGGATATGATAGAGGGCTATAAAATCATGTTGTGGAGAAATGAATAAAGAAGTTTTATTTTCTCCTTCACATAACACAAGAACTAGGGGTCACCAAATGAACTTAATAGGCAGCAGGTTTAAAACAAAACGTAAGGAATTACTTCTTCACACAACGCACAGTCAACACGTGCAACTCATTGCCAGGGGAAGTTGTGAAAGCCAAAAGTATAACTGGGTTAAAAAAATAATTAGATAAGTTCATAGAAGATGGCTAATAAGTCCATCAGTGGTTAAGATGTCAGGGACACAACCCCATGCTCTGTGGCCCCCTAAACCTCCAAAAAAATGGGACTGGATGACAGGGGACGGATCACTCAAATTGCCCTGTTCTGTTCATTCCCTCTGAGTCATCTGGCACCAGTCGCTGTCGGAAGACAGGATACTGGGCTAGATGGACCGTTGGTCTAACACAGTATGGTCATTCTTATGTAGTGAACAGTACAGCCAAAGCCATCTGGCTGTAAGTGCAATCTTTCCGGCAGATGATCTGTTACAGTATAGGAATTATTTTCTTGTAGAGAAACATGAACATTGTGCCTTTTGGCCAACAGCCTCTTCCTTTCCCCATTCAAGCCTACAAGGAAATGTCTAATTATCAGATAGTTTCCTAGAGTTCTGTAAGTGTAACAAAATTTCAGGGAAAGCTTCTCCCAGAAGCTTATAAAAACTTTTCAGCTATTTTTGCCTCACTCAGAGTGAGACAGATATATCTGTCAAATCAATTACCATTCTTTTTTGATGGGCAGCATTAGTCAGCACTGGATTATATGGAATAAAACCTTATATGAAAGATTACATAAGAGCAAATATGATTTGGGGACAATCAAAAATACAGCAGCAAAACCCAACTCACTGCATGTATTTAACAGGCTGAGAAGTGACCAGCTAAACCTACCGCACCTGAATCAACAGGCCAGTTTTCAAACAAATCCATGTTTATGTAGTTAAAGAAGTGACCCTGATTTTCAGAGGTGCAAAGTACCCACAACTCACTGACATGTATTGATAATCAGGCCATTTAATTTGGTGGTTAAATACTGAGAAACTTCAGCATTCACATCTATGAAGATGTCCAAAATTTTTAAGCGCTGCTATTACATAAATTCAATTATTTGCAGTAGACATAGCAAGCTCAGTGACTGTACAAAGTGTCAGACAGACTGCCTGGCATATTGCAGATTATGCCTACTGGTTGCAGTATTGCCAAAAAACCTGGATGAGGCTCCGAAGAGCCATAAGATTTAGGGAGAGGAGGGGGATTGGGAGGGGGAGATATTTGCTTTTTCAGCCTTGAGGGTCCAAATTTTCAAGTTTCTCTACAAGCATGAAAGCTAACAAATTTTTAAATTATAGTAAAGATTTTCATGTTACCACTTGATTCCTGGAGCTAGGGCTTGAAGAAAAAACCAAATATCACTAGACTTGTGGGAAAAAAATGGGAAGAAACGGTTTTCTAACCTATATCAGACAAGTGTAGATATGACAAACTGACAGAAAAACAAACAAAAACAAACATAAAAAAAAACCACCACGATGGCCAGCATGAAGAAAATCCCTTTACATAATCTGAAATTTAAGGCAAACAAGATTGCCTTGACTTCTTGAGACCATGAGTGCCAGAACAATTAAATCAAGGATTTAAATTAGCCATGAATCATGCCTGTGCTTCTGCATATAGTACTCCTGGGGGGATTCTGCACCACGGCGCAATGCAGAATTAATATTCTATGCCAAATTTCATTTCCCCCCATAGAACTGATGCTGCAGAGCTGCTGGCTGCCACTAGGGGCCGCTGGATCAAGCGGAGCCCAGCTCTCCAGACTCTGTGGGGGAGGAGGTGAGGAGTGAAGGGGGAGCTGGAGGATTCTGAGCAGCTGCAGTTCCCAGCAGATCCTAAAGGAAGGAGGTGGCGTGCAGAAAACTCTGTATAAGCCTGGGACCCAGAATCAGGCTGTTTCTCCCTCTGGATCTCTGGAGGGGTTGGGGTGCCCCACAGCTGGGCTCTGAGGGGTAGGAGGTGCGGGTGTCTGAGACCAAAGGGGCAGTTTTCTCCCCCCTAACATGTGCCTAGCTGGCACATGTGGCACACCCATACTGAGGCACCCAACAACAGCATCATAGTGGCTTCTTTAACTCTGAGGGAATTTGTTGTTGTCGTCTGTATTGTTACAGACATACTTGCTGACAGGGATTTTGAAATAAATTACCAAAAATAATTGAAACTGGCATGATTATACAGTGTTATTTTGACAAATAAAATATGCAGAATTTTGTAGAATTTTAAATTATTGTGCACAGAGTTTTCAATTTTTTGGTGCAGTATTCCCGCAGGAGTACTACAGAAGCAGCAACACAGGTCAACTGACAAAATAGTCAATGTTACTATGCTGTTCTTGCTGGGGAAGCACTAAAGCAACAGCAGTACAGCCAGACAGGATCTTCTTTTGCTGATG